GCAAACTGCTCCAGTGTATGCTGCAGGTCACAATCCCCATGACACTAACAGGGACCACATCATCTGCAAAAAGCAAAGATGCGATCCTAAGGCCCCTGAACCCAACCCCCAATGCATCTCCAGTATCCTTGTGAGGGTCAAGTAATGGTCCAGTGATCTGTGACCAAGATGGAATCTGCATTGCCCATTCAGACTCCATGTCCCCTGACTCCCTCGGTTAGAGAAGAGAAGTTATGCCGGAGGTGTGAGTTGAAGATCTCCCAGACAGGGGCTTCCAGCAGATGCTGGCATGTACAATCATGTAAATGTAAATCCCATTTGGCAAATGACGCCTTCCAGCACCCCCTCCGAAGGTCTACAGAGTCCATCCCCAAACACAAAGTCGAAGGGAAGCGACCCTCTCATCTACCAGGGTAAACTCCACCACACTGGCACTAAGTAGCCCCACCCCTGTTCGGTGCCTCTTACCATGGGCAACTCCAGAATGGAATAGAGTCCAGCCCCTCTCCAGGAGTTTGGTTCTAGAGTAAACATTATTTACATGTATAATAAATATTTCAACCAAATAACTGAAAAGTTTCGGTCAAACTGTTAACTAAATGTTAACTAAATAAATAGGCCTGAAAATTGTTCGGTCTGAAAATTCATTGGTTGTTTTTAATATGGTCTTTTTAGTGACTGTTTTTAACACCCCTAGTTTAATGTTTTTACTTAAACTTGTGATGTAGGTCCTACAGATTACCCATTCCCAGCAAATAGTACTTGGAAAGGTATATACTGTAACTGAACTTCAATGCTGGCAAAAAGGTTAGATGAACAGAAGATAAAGAGAAAAGAGAGAGAAAAGAGAATGTATTGCATTGCAGTGTAAGTATGGATGCCTTTTTTTGTACACTTTGTTAATTAATCACATGTACATATAAATCATACGTGCTCAACTGGCAGATCGAAACACTAATTTCAACTGTGCGACTGCAAAATGTTATAGTGGGTATCTTAGCTTTATGTGATGGAATCTGAGCAACCCTGGCATGTACAATCATGTAAATGTAAATCCAATTTGGCAGATGACTTTAAAAACAGAAGTCTGACAATCATTGAAAGTGCATTTATTAAACAGGAAGATCCTCAGTTTAAAGTATTAACCTTCAATTGTAAACAAATTTTGCAAATTACGATATTTTTTTATCGCTTAAGCAATCTGCCAACTTTCTATTATGATATTTTATCATATTTCATTGTAAACTGCTGTGTGGCAGTTTTTTAAAACAAAATGAACCAAGTAACAAGGTTTTCCCCTCCATCAGCTTCCCCCTGAGACAATAACTGAATGTTCTGATATTAGCTGTGAATTCTGAGATTCTGTACAATGCTACAGCTGAAGCTCTTTTGTGGCTTACAGGAAGCAATATTATAGGTCGCTATTCTAAATCTTTGCTCTTATTGTTCTCCCATTTGAGCATAAAAATACCATGTGAGTTAATGAGACAAATAATAACATTATGACTATAAAATTAATGCTGCGTATTAACACATTCACTTTCCCAGCCCTAATAATTCTTATTGAATTGTGTTACTAATGTTTTGTGGTGTTGCAGGGGCAGTCATCAGGGCTAATTACTCCGTTACTGACGTGCTTTGCACTGGACCACATATATGTGTGAAATTAATGTGTGCATTCATGTATATTTTGTTCTTGATAGTACTGTAAATATCATAGCAGTGTAATGTTTGTCATGGACTGCGTGTGATTCCTTAATATGTTACTATGTGTGTGAGTGTCACGTAAACTGTTAGCTTCCATGTCTGTGCCACTGCTAGTTTTAGATTAGTGGTGAGTTGTCATTAAAGACTGAACCTCCATATTAAAAGAGCTATTGTCTCCTTTTATTAAAATGAACCAAGCACTCACCGTTAAATGGTTTGTAGCGCCAGCGTAATTTGCATTTCCCAGCATGCCCTGCGAGTAACTGTAAATGGGCCCCATGTAGTGTTGTTGTTTTGCTGTTAATACTTGTTGTACTATTGTCGTGTGTGTGTTTGCCTGTGTTTTTTGAGAAGCCTGGCCGATCATCGCGTGTCTTTATCATTGTATAAATTACCCACCGTCTTTGTATCTTATTGTCCGGCGTCTAACCTCCCTGCTTTTCCCCTGTTGTATTTGTTTCGGTACCTGTTTGCATGCTTCTGTTAGTCATTTTCAGGACCTAATAAATGGATGTTCTTGTCCCCTTTAAGAGCCTCCTTGTCATTGGCTTCCACCATGATGCCCCGGTCTGCCAGTCATCACCATGGTGTCAGAAGCGACATACCAGAAGTGGCCCCACTTGTGCTGCTGGAGCAGGTGCTCTTCTCCATCAGACTGGCAGGCAGCAGAGCAGCGCTGGGGAGGCAGTGCCATCATAGGGCTGGACCTGCTCTGCCGACTGGGGATGCACATCAACATGCCCGTGGCTGCCATCCACCTCGGTGCTGATGTGTTGACCCTCCTGCAGGATGATGGCCGGAAGCAGATGGTGGCCAAAAGGACCACAATGCCCCCAAGTATTCCAGCAGCCCCCAGCGTGCAAACAACCCCCGCCCCACTGGGTATGGCTGATCTCTTATATTACACCATTAGTTGTAATATATTTTAAGGTAATTAATAATGTAATTTAATATGTGTATTCATGTATTTACATTACAAGCAGGAAGTGTTGTAACTTTGTAATGTAAGCGCTGGAATATAATGTTTTACCACGGTGTGCCTTCCTGTGTGAGTGCGGTGTGAATTGTCAGCTTCCCTGTCTGTGCCACTGTTAGCTGTGTCTGGCAGTGCACTATTTAAAAAGGCAATCTCCTCGCATTTACATAAGAACATGTCTGTTTTTCTCAAAACATGACTCACCTTGCAAGTCCTGACAACGAATTTTCATTATTGAACAAAAAATATAACCTGTGCCTGGTGAAGAAATCCACTTAAGTTGACCAGTATTACTTAACTCAGCTCAGTCTTGAGAAGATTGTTTGTGGCAATGGTTTTTCTGGCCATCTTACAGTTTCTTTTGTGAAGTTTTTCCTGCTTTGAGGCCTGTATCACAAAACCGGATTTCTTGCTTAACTAATAACTTGTTGGGTTTAAACTTTATCTTTGTTCACTTACATTTAGCCCAGACTAGCATAAATTTTATCTGGCTAAACAAGAAATCCTGCTTTGTGATACAGGCCCTTGGTCTGCCCTCAAGAAGGTTTGTTTTTGTCTCTCAATAAAGATTGAATCATGTTTTCCTCACAACCTGTGTCTGTTTGCAATTGTGCTAACCTAATTTTTTTGGAAGCATGCTATTTAAAAGGTTTTAAAGGTTTTAAAAGGTTAAAAAATGTTACAAATTCTGTAACTACTTCTGTAAGGCAAAATTTTCATAATAAAGCAATAATACTATAATATAATTAACAAACATCTTTTTTTTGTTCCAATTTAAGAGTTTGCAGTAGAAGTAGCACTGTATTCCTAACAAATTATAGTATTGCCTGTGTACTGTACGAGTGGCTAATAATCAAAATTAAAATGTGGTATTAGTAAAGCAAGCAATTATGTAACTGGTATTTCAGAACAGCAAATTGCTCATTGTAATTCAATTCATATATTTCAGGTTTCAAACAAAGTTTTCTGACATACACAATCATACACTGTACTACTGTGTAGTGAAATGTTTTTTTTTCCCACTCGCTTCCTGGATTGTGTTTGAAGTATCCAATTTTTAAAAAGCTATAAAATTGTGTTAACAATTATTAATAAATAAGAATAAAATAAGGGTGGCGCTTTGGCAAGTGCTGTTGCCTCACACCTCTGGGACCCCAGTGACAAGCAAAGTGTCACATTACGGGCAAGAATAGAGGTGAAGGCAGGCTTGGGGGAAACCAAAAGGGGCTTTATTAAATGAAACAACAGACAAGGCAAAAGGAAACAGACCACAAGGGGTCAAAACAGGGTAGAGAGGATCAGGCGAGAGCACAGGGCAAACTGGGGAGTACAGGTAGGCAGCAACATCGATCAATGATTGGACTGGGGAGCCCAAGACAGGGAGGCACTATACACATCACTGACGAGGGAGCTGATGAGAGGCACCTGGGGTGATCCACACAAGGGCTGTGACGAGAGGAGAGATTAAACAAGTAACAGGTGTGGCTCATTAGAACCACACAATGGAGAGGACGAGGAGAAAACGATGCAGGGTGTGACACAAAGGTGCAATTTTTTACCCTTTTTTCTGAAAGTGTACTGTACACATGTATCACAATCTGAATACAAGAGGTGTCTTCTGAAAATGCATTATTTCAACCACATATCTACAATTTCCCTTATTCTTCCATCACTTTTATGCTTTGAAATGATCTTTTTTTCATTACATATAGAGTTGTAATACATGAACCTACTTAGTAGTTAATAAACGGAGGAGCCATGGAATGCCCCTATGCTATTGGTTACATATTTTTCAGAGAACAAGCCATGCTTCTTAATTGAAACGAAAAGCTGAATAGAGAAGGTGTTTAACGTCATCGTATTACAGACATTCTTTCATTGCTGTCTCGCTATGGAACACAGGTCCACCTAGTGCCAGTGAGGTGTAACATCTGCGTGATCTCACGCTTATTTGCAGAGACAGAGTGGTCTTGAGGAAGGAGGACAGAGATTGATCAAACTTGCTGGACTTGTGTCGAATCAGTCGAACGGGAGATTTTTATGTCACACCTTTCAGAAACTGATGAAGAAAATATGTAAGTTGATAAATCAGTTTTAGAAATTGTTGGGGTTTTTTTTTTTATAGTACAACTGAATACGTGTTCATCTTTATTATCATTATATTGATATTGTTTGATGTGTGTGTATATGCGTATAAATATATAAATTTCTCTTTCTCTCTCTCTCTCTCTCAGACACACACACACACACACACACACACAGACTCTCTCTCTCTCACTCACTCCCTCTCTCTCTCTCGCATTGTAACTCTGCCTCAGTTCAACTCGATGATGAGGAATTTTACTGGATGAAACAACTGACTCTCCTTTGCAGTCTCACATCTCAGCTTGACACCTGTTAAAATTAAAAGAAGACCTAATCGGGGAAACACGTGTAGCTGTAAGTCGTTTGCAAGATACCATTAATGTCTACGGTGGAAAGACCGTATCAAAGATAATCGCTCCAGAGTCGAGAGAGCAGAAATTAAACACGGCGACGTATCGTGATGGAGAGTGCTTATAGAGATCTGGATCTCTGGCCAGTAAATGAGTCCTGGAAGAATGGAAGTTTTAACAACGACACGGAAGGGGGTAACCAGACGGTGAACGCCCTGAAACGAAACGAAGAAGTAGCCAAAGTGGAGGTGGCCGTACTCGTCCTGGTCCTGTTACTTGCCCTAGCTGGCAACGCGTGTGTCTTAGTGGCGATCCATACCACAAAGCACGGTCAATCACGGATGTATTATTTCATGAAGCATCTTAGCATCGCCGATCTTGTGGTGGCAGTCTTTCAAGTCCTGCCACAACTCATTTGGGACATCACGTTTCGATTTTATGGACCCGATTTCTTATGCAGACTAGTTAAATATCTGCAGGTCGTAGGGATGTTCGCTTCAACTTATATGCTCGTTCTGATGTCCATAGACAGATGCATGGCGATCTGTCAGCCACTGCACTCCTTGCACAGGAGAAAGGACCGCTTTTATGTGATCGTCTCTTGGACTCTTAGCCTTTTATTCAGTACCCCTCAAGTGTACATCTTTTCCCTGAAGGAAGTGGGCAACGGAGTTTATGATTGTTGGGGAGAATTTGTTCAGCCATGGGGCGCTAAAGCATACGTAACGTGGATTAGTATCACTATCTATATCATGCCTGTTACAATACTGAGCATCTGTTATGGACTAATTAGCTTTCGGATATGGCAAAACTTGAAACTTAAAAGGAAAGAGCATTGCATAACTCTCACGCCTAAAGCATCAAAGGGCGCTGCGCTTTCTCGGGTGAGCAGCGTAAAGTTGATTTCTAAAGCAAAGATAAAAACGGTTAAAATGACTTTTGTGATCGTCGTGGCGTACATAGTCTGCTGGGCGCCCTTCTTCTTCGTGCAGATGTGGTCAGCGTGGGACCCCGCGGCACCCAGAGAAGGTAAACATCCAGAAATAATTTCAAATCGTGAGACAAGTAAAATTGGCCACTAGCTTGCAATGCAATCTTAATGTGAATTAGTTTTGTACACCACCAGCAATAAAACAGATCCGTGCATATAGGCTATTAAGCAAATACATGAATTTAATCTACACACGTGCACGTTCTTCCGTAGATTGACCTGCAGCATCTTCCCCTTTTATTGTTCTTCGGGTCTAACCCAGCTCGGATTATTTGGATTATGTTGAATGATTCCCAGTCGAAACACTAGACTGTAGTTAACCTGTGCTTATATAAACGATACGTTACATCAATGCTATATTAATGGGCATTAGGGGAAAATTGACCCTCTGTATTTATCGAAACCAAAAAGAAAAAAAAAGATAAATACAAATAAAACCTGTTAGCGGATATGTACCCCTTTTGTTTTAAAAAATTAATCCCAGGTAAACATAACTAAGCAATTCAATCAATACTACTGTCATGGTGTGCGAGGCGAAGTTAATCAGTTTTCGAACAAAAGGGGTTTTATTTAACTGAATGGGAACAGGGACACAAACAAGGCTGCGAGGGGTCAAAACGAGAAGGCTAGTAGGGGGTGAGGACACGGACAGACAGGAGGAGTGACGTCAATCACCGGACTGGAGCTGACAAGAAAAACATGTAATTACATGCAGAGGCCAACGAGGGGCAACAAGCAACAGGCGTGGCTGATCAGGGCCACCTTGGGGAGGAGACGGGGGGTCTGGCGTGGCTGATCAGGGCCACTTTGGGGAGGAGACAGGAGGGTCTGGCGTGGCTGATCAGGGCCACCTTAGGGAGGAGACAGGAGGGTCTGGCGTGGCTGATCAGGGCCACCTTGGGGAGGAGACGGGGGGTCTGGCGTGGCTGATCAGGGCCAATTTGGGGAGGAGACAGGGGGGTCTGGCGTGGCTCATCAGGGCCACCTTAGGGGGGTCTGGCGTGGCTCATCAGGGCCACCTTAGGGAGGAGACAGGAGGGTCTGGCGTGGCTGATCAGGGCCACCTTAGAGAGGAGACAGGGGGGTCTCGCGTGGCTGATCAGGGCCACCTTAGAGAGGAGACAGGGGGGTCTGGCATGGCTGATCAGGGCCACCTTAGGGGGGTCTGGCGTGGCTGATCAGGGCCACCTTAGGGAGGAGACAGGAGGGTCTGGCATGGCTGATCAGGGCCACCTTAGGGAGGAGACAGGAGGGTCTGGCGTGGCTGATCAGGGCCACCTTAGAGAGGAGACAGGGGGGTCTGGCATGGCTGATCAGGGCCACCTTAGGGGGGTCTGGCGTGGCTGATCAGGGCCACCTTAGGGGGGTCTGGCGTGGCTGATCAGGGCCACCTTAGGGAGGAG